ACTAAGAAGCTTGTGTGTAATAATTATAGGAGTGATCTAGAGTAACTAAGCTACTTTTAAAATTGTTTTAACTATTAAAAAAAAAAATTAGATATCATATTTACTTACATTAAGCTCGTGTATAATTATGGGAGTAATATCCTCTATATATTAATTGAGGAGACACTAAGGTGAAAATCATGTGTCACTCAACGAGGGTTTCAAAGAACATGTCATCTAAATTAACCAATGAAAACATTTCAATTAATTCTAGATATTCTTATTAATTTTTAGCATAAACCCATTACATGTTTTGTAAATCTAAATCCAACTAAATGTAATATTTAGACTTACTATATTATCTATTTTAAAAACTTCTTTATATTGAGAAATTTTTAAAAAATATTATTTATATTTTATAAACTTTTTTATTATTATATTTGTGATAATATTATTTATTGTTTATATATGTATTTAGATTAATATGATATATAAAATTTTAACACATTTCATTATGGAAAAATAAATATTGCTTTGCGTTTATTATGACCGACAAATTCATATAAATCTAAAATTTAATTGATTTATCGCATGCTCTATAATTTACAAGAATATTAAAAATTAATTTTACACTTAAAATATTTTGAAATAAATAAAATTTTCATATGTTCTGATCAATTGCACATAAATATATTAAAATTGATGGCATCAAAACATTTTTGATTAAAATTTAATTTGATTATATTTATACACAATGCATATCATTTTATAAGTTTATAAATATTAGAAATTATATGATTTGTTTGACATATTTACATATTATAATAGATTAAAAATATATTAAATTATTTAATTTTAGGGTTGGTGTGGGTCAACATCTAGTAGTATTATATATCTAAGGAGGAATTAAGCTACTTTTTAAATAATTTTTAATGATAATATAAATTTTACCATTACGATTAAATGATCAAATAAGGACGATTTATGTCTTACGAATCGTCGTAAATTAATCGTGGGAAGCTTTATGCTGACCAAAAATGTAAAATTGATATTCTGGTAGAGACGACCGTACGGACGGTATGAGGGGTTGTTTGACTAAATATACTAGTACTAGTTATTATACTTGTAAGAATGCAATTTCCGAAAATATGAGCATTAAGCACCAACCACATTATTTAAATAATTCTCCCACGATTAATTAGTCGACGATTCGTAAGACATAAATCGGAACATTATAATTGTTTAGCTAATCATAACTTTTTTGAAATATTTTGTCGGTACATCCGTTTAGGCTAAAAGCCAAGTTTTGTGTCGGAATATAGGATTTAAGGTCGGGATTTTTGTTAGGCTGTAATAATTCGTATTCATGTATTACGAAACTATGACAATTATCTAAAAAGCTTTTGAAAAAATTGAACCCATCATATAATAATCGTCATCCGGATAGTTCAAACCCACAAAATACAATAATCTTCAATATTTCCTTATTATTACTGTTAGTTTTCCTAAAACTAATATTTGGATTTGATACTGCAAAAGGCCTTTTAAATATGTATTCAACTCATGTCAAAAAAATTAGTCGCCTCTTCTTGACATGAGTTTCCAAAACGAAAAATATTCAAAATCACTAGCTCAAACAAAGATGAAACTTCTTAAGTTGTCAATTACCATGGTCTCTGATCCGATCAAGTTATATGAACTTAAAATTCATAATGTGTTAGTTACCTAGAATAAATATACATTAGAACGACAATACGAAATTAACTAATGTATGCGGCGTATATCGTTATTAACTAATCATTGACAAAGAATAACCAAACCATTAGAAAATATGTAATTGTGTAAATATACATAGGCGCACGTATAAAGATTGGAATATTGGATAAAGGCGGTACAAGAACCACTTATAGAACCTGCTCGCACGTCTACGTGTAATATATTTTAAACTTCATTTAAACAACCATTTGACTTGTTTTCTCTAATTTTTTAAAAAATATTTCTATTGCAAAAATTCAACGAAATGAAACAAATCCCAATCAGCACGGACAAAAGTCTCCAATAAAAAAGGAGATCGTGATCCTCACGTAGCCACTATCACTACCGTTGAAAATCCCCTCTATATAAGATTGCCTCTAATTCGATTACTTCATC